CACGGATGCTTGTCCATCTGTCCACCGCGGTCAGCAGGTGAGTTATACAAGAATGACTATTCGTGAAACCATGTTGTTTGGGTAAAATGAAGTTTAAGGATGATAAATGGTCGTGTATACCGTAGCAAATTAGGGACTCCATAATTTTTGAAGGTATAGAGAGAAGAGCCACTGGTCGGTAGCTTGAAGCTTCGCTGCGTCGACCTGCTTTAAAAATTGGTGTGATGTCAGCCAGCTTCCAAATTTCTGGTAGTTTGCCTTGGCTTAGCGAGCGTGATAACATCACGCTAAGCGGTGTTGCCAGGATTGATGCTGCTTCCCTCAGTATAGCAGAATGAACCATATGTGGGCTAGGAGAAGTGTTGCGGTTTCCGGTACACCAAGTCTGCGCTCGGGCTCACTTCGGAAAGTCCTGTGCAGTTGTAGATGAAGCTTTCATCAATGTAGGTAATGTGGGTCGATTGAAATGTCCGAGAGTATTGTTTAGCCAGAAGGTTGGCGGTGTCACCGTCGTTATTGCTTGGCGATTAGGACCCAGCAGTTGGAAAGCTCTAATTTTGGCTTGTCGAAGAGATGCTGCATAACGGAATAAGCTTTTCGAATTGAAGATAAATTTATCCATAAGCTTTATCTGATACTGAAACCTGTCTCTTCTTGTTGCTTTTGTGCATATGTTCCTTATATGTTTGTATTGCCAGGACTGAGAGGTTGTCAACTGAGAATTCTTCGCTTTTAAATACACAGTCTAAGCGCGACGGCGTCTGTCTGTTTCTCCAACGAGTTGCCGACTTTATATATTCAAATAATCCCAGATCCTCAATGAGGTTGAAGAACCAAGCTTCAGAAGAGTTTTCACATCCAGCATACGTATGTTCTGTGAAATTGACTTTAGGATGATTGAAGTCCCCTAGGATCAGGAAATGAGTGAATCTGGGATGCGTAGATCGGGACAATTCTTACAGCATACGACTGTAGTACTCGATGTCTGCAGTAAGCTTCCTGTAGATGACTCTAACTAGACACCTCGAAATGGTAGACAATCTTACTGAGCACCACACGGATTCATCAAGATTGATAAATTCTTGATTGTGCACTTGATGTTCCTCCAGGCAGGATCATAAGTATTAGGCTACTCCACCTACAATTCTTGTTTTTCTGTCCTTGCGAAACAAAGACATTTCGGGGATCGCTAGCTCGTGGTCCGTAAACCGAGATATTCAAGTTTCAGATATTTCTAACAGGTGAGCAATATTAGCATTGCTGAGTTCACGTAGCTCATCCATTTTGTTTGGCAAGCTCGCGGCGTTCATGTATAAGTAGTTTGTAATTTCAATTCGAAACGTATGAGCTTCTTCTTCCTGTTTGTCTGTATGAGCCTTGCGTGAATAGACAGGTAACCTACTTGAACAAGGTTTTCCGTGTTGGTATCCCCTGTCCTGTATGATTGAGACAGTCTACAAGTAGGATGGTCATCTCCAACATGTCTTCATTGATACTTCTGGAGTTCAGTGGTTTGATTTTACATTTGTCAATAAGAATATGTTCCTAGTTCATCAAGAGTTTATTCTTCCTAAAACAAGTAACCAGTTTTGTATTGTTTAACAATGATTCTTGTTAAAACCTAGTGCTTTTATTTCATCGTTTTGGAAAGACAAAAGTTTCCTTGTCTGGCTGGTTCAATTTCGCATTTGAATAACTCGATTACACAAGTCTCACTGAAGGGAAAACCGTTTATGTATTTTGCGCATTTTCGATATTCTATACGTAATTTTGTGCTTAAATAGCACCTTTCCTGTGATGAGATTACCTAGTTAAACTTACTTGGTGATATTTACTTCTTTATGCTTAGATAGACAGTGACAAACAACAACAACTTGCATCCAGAAAATCATTCGGTGAAGTACCCAATACACAGCATAAGCCGCTGATCGAAATTCTCGACTGAACTCTGTTCTGTTCATTCCTTTCCAGCAGTTTCTAATTGTTATTCATTCTTTGGATACCTGCTTCCAATCCGCGACTCAATTTGTTCGTTGGCCTTCCCCTTTTCCGTTTCCCTCCAGGATTCCAAGTTCAGATGCGCCTCGTCATGCAGTTTGGCGACTTCAGCAATCTATGTCCTATCCACTTCCAGCGCTTTTCCCTAATTTCATCTTCAGATGGAACCTGGTTTGTCCTATCCCACTGTACGCTGTTGATCATGGTATACGGTCAATGGATATTGAGTATCGTCAGTAGGCAATTGTTTATAAATACTTGTACACTTTCGATGATTGTCGTGGTACTTCTCCTTGTTTCAGCTCCGTATAGTAGAACTGTCTTGACGTTCTTATTGAACATTCTCACTTTCATATTGGTTGATAGATAATTGTTTTCAGTTCCATATGTTCTTCAATTGTAAGAATGTGGCCAGTGCTTTACCAATCCTCGTCTTTATGTATGCATCCGATCCTCCTTGTCCATCGATGATGCTTCCCACGTACGTGAACGATTCCACATCTTCCATAGTTTCGCCATCAAGTGTGATTGGATTGGTGTTCTCCGTCTTGTATGTGAGGATCTTACTTTTTCCTTTGTGCATATTGAGACCGATTGATGCAGAAACTGCTGCTACACTGGCTGTCTTCTTCTGCATTTGTTGATGTCTCTGACAAAAATTGTTTTTGTCATGAACTTTCCGTGACTATTCGTCTTTGGTACATAGAGGTTTCATGATTTTAAGGGTGAACACATGCTGTAACTTGAGGTTCTGTATATTAATTTGAAATTGGTGAGACTGATTGATTAAGAGAATGCAAGAACAAAACCAACGTCCTCCATAGAGCGCAATATAGGTCCTGAGAAGGCGGTTCTTTCATTTTCAATCTTCTCATCGCTTTGGACAGAAAACTTACTGGGATTTAATAATGTTACTCCACAAAATATTGTGCTGTACTGCATGCACGGCAAATTTTGCAAAAATGTTTCCTTAACTCACTTTCATTCTGGTTTACAAACTACACAGAGAATCGAATGTTTCATAGTAATATATACAAGGCTCATGGTCTCTGGAGCGCTACAACACCAGCTCTGATGTGTAAAACTGTCTTGGGTCAACTCCCACTCTCAACTTTCATGAATATCCCTTTAGGTAAGTACTCTAATCTGAGCTTATATGAAGTTCCATACGGTACGAAGAGTAGTAATGTGAATATTCAGCCTCATGGATCACGAATAACTTACATACTCTACGACAACCTTCACCCAGTTGTCTCTGCTGAAGGCGATCCACAAATAATTTGACTTCTGTGGGGATGCTGCCAAGGCCAATATCACTCTGCGCTTCGTACAAAGACAGTTGGTCGTCGTCACCCGACAAATGTTCATGGAGCTCTCGAATGAGTATGCACGGCCTCATCTTGAAACTCAAGAAGTCGTTGAATTTGTAGATCGCCAATGTAGATGATCTATGTCGAATGATAAGCGGTTTACTCAAGTTAGTTGGGAATGAATTAACGAACCAGCTAACTTCGAAGTCACACTTCGCGGTACTCATCTAACGTGAGTTACGACTTCGATTTATCAAAGTATTATGGCTGCTTTGAAGACTGTATAACACAAAGGACGTTATTGAGGAAATACATTGGTAAGAATGAGTACAGAGATAGAGACCACCACCATATACGCCAGTCCATGACATGCGATTAAGTGATGCGCGTTAGTCGTCCTTGACCTTGGCAAAGAACAATTATCTGTTCGATATTCAATGACCCAACTGCCGGATGACTTGGCTAGGCTCAATGACATTTCACTGACCATACAAGTTCCCCTTTTGAAAAGTGACATAAATTTCTTAAGTACAGAGCTGGTTAATAAGTGGGTGATAAGTCTGATCAACAAATCTTGTGAAGATTAACTTCGACACTTAGGATCATTCTTGGTGTTTTGCAGGAGAGTGGGAATTGACTTGGTAGTGACCCATCATCACCCTTACACGAAACTCATAGAAGAAAACCAGCCTAAGCTCCTCCAGCCAACCTCCGCACATCAAGGATCGAAAACTCGGGCACATCCCTGTTTGGAATGCTCTCCGAGTCAAAGTGATCACAGCCCTTATAATGAATAGCTTCATGAGGAGACTGGACGAACGCACACTCACCCATGGATTATCATTTAATCCTTACACAATCTGTACCTGGTTTGTGTCTCACAGCTTATTCGCTACTATCGATACCACGTCCCATCAGCCAATTCCTATCTCAGTTTCAACAATCACCACCTCCTTTTTACTCATACACTTCAGTTTGTACATATCTACCCATTACTAATTATTTAACTTAATTGACACATGAAACAACCATATATCCTCAATAGTAGAATTTTCTAATTCAACCAACTCCCTCCCTGAAATCATGATAGCCAGTGGTTTAGAAAACATGCTGGGAGCGCAGATAGATGCGTAGAATTGTAGATCACTAACGTAGATCATCTGTGTCAACTGATTGAAGGCTTACTTGAGATAGACGGTGATAGTGTGACGAAATAGCTTACTTCGAAGTCACTTTATGCAGTCAGAACCTAACATGGGTTACCCCACTGTTGTTTTCAGATGCTGTGGCTGGTTTAATCACCGTACAACACAAAGGGTGTTATTACAGAAATATATTAATAGGAGTAGGTACAAAGAATAATTTGCAACGACCACCGCCCAAACAAGTCCATGGCGTGCGATTATTTGATGTGTGTTGGCTGTCATTGAACCTAAAAAGGATCGGTGAACCGTTCGACATTCAGTGAACCGACTGCCGAATGATTTGGCTTGAGCCCAGAGACATTTCACTGGTCTTACACATTTATACCAGCTCGTTATATAGATAGTGGGTATCAAATATTGGAAGACCATCTGAAAATTATCGGATGTATTAAATATTTTCTGAGATCAACATTTTCGTATCTATTCAGGAGTCTTATGGAAAATGTTATGTGGGAATCGATGTTTGTTTGTTTGTATCAATATCGTCACTACTTCCAATAAGAAGGGTAAAGTGGGGGTAAAACAAAGGGGTTGTTGTAATGATATATTATTCATGCGTTATTGATTTGAATAAGTGTCTTGACTTCTATTTTAGTACTAAATGATCTTTAAAATCAATTATTGTGTACGGATGCGTTCTGTTCTTAGGCGGGGAAAAGAGATTTAGTCACTGTCGACCCGTTAGTCTAACCAGTACAGATGTCAAACTAATGGGAAAGATTATTCGGATGACTGTTATAAACCATGTGAAAGGGCATAATTTTTTATACAGGGAACAAGATTTTCGTAAAGGCCTATCATGCTTGACAAATCTGCTAGTTGCAAGCGGAGATTGGGACGTAGCAAAAGGCCGAAGAATCCTTGTAGATGTGATTTTCATAGATCTAAGTAAAGCCTTTGATAAGGCCTTCCATTCAGATCCTAAATTAAAACTGGAAAGTTTCGGAATCCATTATAAAATCATAGACTGGCTTAGTGACTTTGTCGATTATAGGAGAAAGCAGGTAAGGGTAAATGGAGCTCTCAGTGTGGGGACCTGTAAAAATAGAGGTTCCTCAACGTATAATCCTTGGTCTTCTTTTTTACTTTCTTCAAATGAATTTTCAACTGTAGCGAGGTCATCCGTCCTACTCTTCGCTGATGATAAAGATTTGGAGACCTATACACACCATGTCAGATAAAATAATATTACAGGATGATCTCAATTCGTTGGTGGCATGTACTAGTGGGTGGTCACTAGAAGTAAATTTCAACAGGAGTGGGGTGATGCAACAACTTGTGTCACCCAAGATAATGGACTATAAAGATTTAGGAGTCATAATAAGCAGCGACTTCGAAACAATGGGCAAATGCAAGGCTGTTGCTGCCAAAGGCTTTGGGGCATTATGAGCTGTTCGTAGGTCTTTCCAGTACTTGGACGAAGAAATGATTAGAGTATTATACCCAACCTTCGTGAGACCGCACCTGGAATATGGATAACCATAGTCCATGTGGCCCATATTGAACTCATTTGTTTGTAATACTGTAAATCCGGCCTCTTCAGATCTGCCCCTAAATGGTTGTTTTGTTATTTAATTTCTCAGGGAATAATCTATTGTTTGTAGATCCATTTATTTCAGGGACTCAACAGTTATTCAGTTACAACGCTGACAAATTACTGGCTCTTAAGCACCTCGAGTGATATTACTTAAAGGTTTAAAATTCTTTTCCCTTCATAATGCAAAATATGTTATTTCAATACTGGTATGTTCAAGTGTTTAGTTTAGTCATAGATTGTAAATCAGTCTGTATCGACAAAGTCAACTTTGATTCATAATAAAACGATAGCTATCGGGTTGATGGATGTAAAAATCTCAGTATATGTTCGGGAACTTTATTGAAATCTTACTAAACATCTGTGCCACAGGTGACATATCTACTTTTCAAAGGGTTGGTATATTGCATGGTAGTTTGCCCTATGACACTTCACGCGGATAAATATTGACTTTTTGAAGCATCTGGTGTGAACAGGTTGCATGTATTCGATAAGTTGCTTCAAAGCATTGTTCAAAGATAATTGGATAGGTAATGCAGAAGTAAAAACTAGTAAGTGGTAATGATGAACTAGCTAATAAGGTAAACCCAACACGCTAAATCTACCAGCCGCCACTTATTATGGTGCTGCCATAAGCTAGCCAATGGAAAATTAAAAGAGGATCAGATTAAAACAGTATTGGTTCACAAGGTCATTCATTGTTAGTGTAGACTAAGTCGGGAGTTACAGATGTTTTGGTTTGGGTTCACGAAATAGTTATGACATTGAAGATTTCGAATTACTACCAAGAACAAGTGTTACTGACGTCGATGCATCAATTCTTCATATTCCTTTGGCTTATCAGTTTTGCTCCTTTTGAAGTGTTTTATATCTAGTTTTCAACCGCCAAAGCTGTTATTTGATAGAATAAAGCGACCTGCATAATTTTGTCAGGTCCTATGTAATTACTATCTATCTGAATGTGACCCATCGGTTCTCATTTGAATCCCTAAACAACAGAAGCGTAGCTTGACAGGTAAATAAATCCCTTTTAAAATTATCAATTATGACTTAAGCTACCTAGCTCCATACAATATAACAAATTTTAATTTTGTGAAAATTGTTATCTCAAAAGCTTGACTTTTAAAATAGTAGTGGAACAATAGAAAGATTAAATTGGTTGATTCTATACACTTGCAAATAGTTAATACAGGTCCTATTGTCTATGTATTTAACTCACATACTACAAATTTATGCAGTTGCTTTGAGCTACACCATATTATACCTTGTGATACTAATCGGTCAGCAAAAACTGAAGTAGACAGTAAAGTTTAAACCGGTTGGAATCAAAATGTTTTAATCGCTAAACTGTGGACTCATATCAACTTAAAAAATTGTATCCACAGTTTGCCTACAGTATCTGTAACCTGACATAAATTTACTCATACCCGCTCTTATCTATCCCATAAATTTTTTCGTTTATTCAACCGTAGTATTTTTCACATGAATGTAGGTGCTGAATGTTTGCTAGTATCCTTATCTTTTGTTTGCCTAACATTTGTCAATGTATTTAGTTCGTTCGATTACACTTGTCCCAACCTATTTATTGTTTAGTTCCCCATATGTTGTCAGTAACCTACTAATTTATTACTGCGTTCTCTTTGTTAGTCTATTACTTCAGAGTTGAACTTACCATCTTTATTTAAATGTGATTAGTCTAATACATATATGTACGTAAATCCTTTCTCATTCTCGATAATATAAGTAGTTTTTTATTAGAATTTAAAAATCAGTTGCCTTATCTTCTCTTTCATGTTCAGTAAAAAGTTATTTGATGTTTCACTTCATATTTTTATTATGGGTTTTGGTAGCTAGTAGTATTTTCAGTTTAATTTTTTACTTTAGCATGAAGTTATCCAAGTTTTCTTAATAAGTTATTTTCTGTCATTTTAGTTATGTTAGATGAACTACCGCATCGAGTTAATTGGAAAGACAGTAATACTACTATTGGGAGTGGTTTAACAAGTCTTACGACTGGTTCTCATGAAACGCACAAGGAAAGATTTGAAGATTGTGTTGGAAGTTGGACGAACCTAGAAGATTGCAGACTGCTTGATCATGTCTCTCGATTGGGTGAAAATCGTTGGAATCTTATTGGAAAAAAACTTGGCAAGTCAGCTTTTCAATGCTCAGAAAGGTAAATAATGGTAAATTATTGTTTTCCCGTTTCGTCTAAATAAAATTTCTCCAGAAATTAAATTTGCCTTATGGTGTGTTTATAGTTCTGAATATACTAAAGTTCATAAATTTAATTCATGATTTAGTCACATTACTTCCATTTTTTGGCCACATTTTCAAGTTCCAACTTTATATCGTAAATGACTATGATTACTTTTTAATACTTTTTGTTTATGAATCTTGTGCCAGCTGATGAATGATTCCAGTTACAGAATAACCTGTTAACTCGATTAATTGCTTTCTCTTTCATGACAACGATGGGCTTCTATTTGTGCAATGATTAGTATTCACTAAGATACGGAGGGGGAAGCAAGTATCTGTGAGCAAGTACGTTTTGGCATCAGTACAAATGCCAACTAAGCGATAAATTTCAAACAACCACCATCTATATTACTGGCTTGGTAGTGTAGGTTTTTAAAAATTCAATTCCCAAAACGATTCTGATTTTGTACCTGACTATCTGATTTTAACCATTGTTCACCATATGATGATAAAAAGCTTTATTCATTGGATAAGACTCCAGTATTATATGATATGCTAACAAAATACTTCGACAACTTATATATTGATTGGAAGTTAATTAAGTGAAATTGTAGTAAACGGTTTCCTCTGTGGTTCACATCGTAATTCATGGATTCACATATACTTAAAATCTCGTTTGTTGTTTTATGCTTCTCCCTAACTCCTTCAAATCGATTAATGTAGTATAGTAATTTAAGCGTTTTACTTGTTAAGTAATGTATTAAATCTGCCTCCCAACCTATTGAGTGTAAATATGCTTCAAGACTGACTTAGTTTCATGCATGAACTATATTGGTAGTGAAACTATTCTGTGTAAGGTACAGTTAATATATACTACAATCGGTCAACCTGAGAAAGTTGTTTTAAATTGACCAATTGAGGTATAACATGACTATCCAAAGTCAGTCCGCTTATATTTTTTTCAAAAACCTTGACATATGAGTTTTACATTTAAAACTGACATCTATTTGAAATCTTTATAAAACTAATTCACTCGGATCGATCACTTTTTTTAGATATTTGAAGCATTTACGTCCTCAAATGTTAGGATCCAGTAAAACCTATACAACTCTAATACAACATAGAGCTATACCACAAACAATTCTCAATTCAGATCAAAATTCAACATGGACAAAAGATGAAGACTCAACTCTCCTCCAGTTGTATTTAACATATGGATCCAATTGGGAGTTAATAGCTAATCGCATAACCACTAGTGGTAGTTCGCATAAAAAACGAACTGCTGTAGATGTAAGACAACGATATGAAAAAGTTGTTCTCCAATATTGGCCCAATTATGATCAAGAAAATCGTCCACTCTCTAGTTTACTGTTTCGTAATTCGCTGTAAGTTTATCTTGTTGAAACAAGTTCTTATTTGCACTTATCATAAATGTAACCCAAGGAATTCACACAAATCCCCACAGCTAATTAAGTCGTAGTTTGAACTTACAGTCTAGTACTTCAAAACGAAGTGACGGCTTACTTATTAAAGCACTCAACTTTTAAATTTTTAGCTGTGGGTTTAAACCATGCTTCAATTACCTGACTGGGAATAATCAGGTTGTATCAAAAGTGTAGTTCACTGATAAAAAATATATGTCTGTCTAGTTACTACTCATATGTAAGTTAATTTTTATATTGTTTGCTGAGATATTGTTCTTGTTTTGATGATCACAACATAAAATTAATGGGTTTCTTAATATCGCATTTCTAATCTACTATAGGGAGCGACGTAGTTGAGTATATCGATCGCTTTACTTATCTTGGAAGTCTCATCATCCCTTGTGGTCTGATGTGTGCGCAGGTGCACCCACTTTTGTGTTCTCCCAAATTCTAGTCTTCTGAATTCTTCATGTTCCTTTCCTTTTTTCTCTTTCCAAATTTATTTCACTGGATTATACTCCTTGGATAACATCTTCAAACCCTAATCTTCCGGATTACTGCTTTTACTTTTACTACCTCTACCACTATGGGATTTGAATCAATAACTGCATCTCTGTTCTAATGTGGTATGGCAACTCGAACTAATATACGTACGTACGAAGTTCTACGTTGCTACTGACTGACTTTTTAATCGATTCATTAATCTATCATGCTTTATAATTTAATAATGTCATTAGCATACCACACGATAATAGCGATCAGTGGTTGAAGACGTTGGGTGACATGACCTAGGTTCGATCACATTAATGGATATTCATTCACCTTTTTTCTTTCACTACCTATAGAGTCTCGGTATTCTCTCATAAATACTTTTTCTTTTCTAAACATCCTCTGTTGTATAAGGGAATAGAGCAATAATTCTAGTCCCATTTCGGGCGATTATAAATCCCTACATATAAAACATTCTTGTCTAAAATCTGTTTACTTGTTGAAGCATTATTCTACAAGTAAAATCATATGATACATTTTTAAAGTACGCCAAGATTAAATCGTGATTTCATATCACGCCTAACAATCCAACTGTTTGATTACAAAATGATTAATATTTCCCGAGACATTAAATTGTGTAGACGACAAAACCGAACGATATAGTGTTTTTGTTTTAATCGAATGCCCGTCTGTAGGTTTGTTACAGATTCGTATGATTATATTAATATATTTTACTGTCAATTCAGTTATTATGTACGTTCCTGACTAAGCACATATGCAGAGGAAAAAGATCAAAACTATCAGGAGTCTTATTATCAAAAGCCGGATAATAATAGTAATTAGAAATTCGTCGAATGGTTGATTATTATGGATTCAGCTAAACGGTTTATGTGGTCATAAATCCTGATCGACGAAGGTGGTTATGACATGCTTTACATATACCCAACCACCACCTACCTCGACGAGCGGTTCTTATTATTGCATAAGTATGTTGGTTAGAAGTCTGGCGCAGCCAAGCCAAAAGGTGGCATCATTCCATGAAGTTATTGACTTCTAGTCTGAACAATATTGGTACATCCAGTCTACGTGATAGGGATCCATGTGATGACCGCGATCAGTGGTTTAAGACTTAGTACAGACTCAATCACTTTATCTTTTTCTTAGCCTTCAATCGCAGAGTCCCTTCATACATATCTTTCTAATCTGTCTTTCCAAAACATATTCCTAATGTTTAATCTTATTATCAATGCTACTACAGTATCTCGGTCTCATTATTTTCATCTCGTTGTGCTGACCTGATATGACAACTTAGGTTAAAGAACATCTGTGCCAGTCTCTATGTTGACGATGTCTATCTGTCGTCTGTCATTGGTTCAGGTGGAATTATCATCATTGTACATGCTTAATTTACATAATCCCTTAACATACTCATAATTTCATCGAAATCACGTACCGATCAATGTTATGCAACCATTGGAAATTCGGAAACCCTGAGTTGTCGTTTCTCCATAGTATGGGACTCCTCAGGAGTGTGTATTCACGACGACTCAACAGAAGATCGAATCCAAAACCTTTGGTCTCCATTGGATTGCGGTTCAGTAGTTTGGAAGTTAGGCGTTCACGCACGAGACCGAAGGTCTTCTGTTCGATTACAGTTGTGGGGTCGTGGATGCGCACTTCTGAGGGGTGCCCCGTAGTAAGAAGGAATGAACGTTCAGTGTTTCCAAGTTTTCAGTGGTTATTTAACTTCGACCAGTTCATGATTTCAGTGAAGCTCGATAATCTTGACAATCCTGACAATATTCACAATTGTTTTTTCTTCATTTCCTTCCCAGATTATCCTGGTCAAATAGTCCTAAAAATAACAGTACTCACAACAACACAAGTTCAAACGATCAATCAATAATTAGTAAGAACATTCCTCGACCTTCCTATCTAATCCCATTATCTTCATTAAAGTCGAATTACGATTCTACAACAAATGGAAATTGGAAAATTCGTCTGACCCAACCTATTCATCATCATGATTCAGGTGTAAGTGATGGATAAAATATTGATTTTAAATTATAATATTAATTGCTTCAGATAAGGTAAATAGTTGATAAGAGAAGTAGATGCTTACATATCTAAAAGTCACAAAGTTCGACCTAGTTAAACTTATCAGCTTAGGTTGTGTAATTGTCAGGCGAAAACAATGATATACAATGAATTCATTGTATTCAATTAACAAAATCATTTTTATTTTTATTTAAATTTGTAAAGGGAACACCAATTTGATAAAGTAAAGGGAGAAGAGATATGTAGGTCACTCCCTAAAGATTACTACTTAGTTTGTAACTACTTCAAACTCCTGTCTGTCTAATCAATATTATAACGCACTAGTCACTAACCGAAGTGACTGATACCTGTTGTGTAAGGCTTATCTACTTGATAAACCGTAACTAGGGTGTACAAAAAAGAAGTATATCTTTTAATTTTCAACGCTAAAACACTGTTATATATTGTCAAACACGTTGTTAGCTTCCAGGAAACTTTAATTGCAAGAGAATTGCTAACAGATCATCACTAGATCAGTAGAACAACACTGAGCAATGTTACTTTCCGTATTGGTCTTTTTTTCTTCGACAAATTGTTTATTTGTAATTCGAACAAATTACTGCTCAAATGTATTCAAGTATCATGTATACTGAATAGGTAAACATTTATCGATATTCGGCATGAATACCACCATCAATATAAATAGTTAAAGCTGAATCACACTTAAACGATTAGCATAGGGAATAAGACTTTCTTATTGTGTCTTTAAGCATGTTTTCTGAATCAATGATTGCGTAATCGCCAAATTTACAATGTTTTTCTGACCTATTTTTCACTAACAAAGCCTTAAGCTAAAAACACTTTGACCTTAACAATTTTGCTTAGCTTATAGTGTGTGATGTTATCCTGTAGAGGGAAATAACATCTTAAAGTACAAATAAATATTGTGGATTCATTCAAATGGATTTTGTGGACATTATAGTAATTTCAATGGTTAAGATCATGAGTCAGTTGAAGCTAGACCACCATGGGAAACCTGGACAGCCGTTTCGTCCTATTGTGGGACTCCTCAACAATGCTCATCCACAACCTCGCCCCCCGCGAGATTCGAACCCAGAACCTACTGGTTAAGTGCTCGCGCACGAAACTCAATCATAAACAACTTAGCATATATGTGTCAAGCTAGGTTGTAACACTTTACATTAATATATATAGCTACAAGAAATCATTATGAACAATGAAAATAGTACCAAACTATTGGGAAAATCAAACATAAATGAAATTAGAAAGGAACAAATGAAATAGGGGAACAATCTACGATATTGATGCCAATTTACATCTGTATAGTGTAGGAACTTCAATTGTCATTCACTATTATTTTTATTTGTACGTCAGCTTGATTGTTTGTATCTCTTAATACATCTCAAAACAATGTTTAGTGATTTTAAAAAAACGGATGTCATCTTACTTCCTCCCTACTTTTCTTCTGACCTACTCCTGTACACTAACAAGCTTAACAAATCACAATTGTTATTAGCTGGTATATTTAACACATATATCAACCACCTCAGTTGATTGAGATTCATGAAGTTATCACCCATTTTACTAATCCCACTTTAACCATCTTACATCAGTATTACTCATTTGATTGTCTTGATATTTTCGAAGTCATCCATTGTCAAATACATGAAATCTGTATATGTAACTATTAAGTCAAGTCTCGTCTAACTCGACAATTGTTATAAACACGAAAGTCAGTGATATTAGTTCAATCATTAAAATAAATATGCTTTATTTCATGAACAAGTAAAAGAATCCTCTTTTTTATGTGAATAATCAAACTATAAAAATGACAGAAGGTTAAATTAAGCATTTCCGAATTATTCAACTATAATTTCATAAATGTAACCAATTGAATATTGAAATTGTGTTCAAAGCCCCCAAATGCCCTGGTACGGCCGAGAGTGGGAAGAGTTGGTTTAAAAATCAGTTCATTATTGATAAATTTTCTTGTAAGATAATTGTCAGCATTATAATCTTGATGAGAATCTGTATATATGTATATCCTATCTCTTTAATGAGCATTAAAATGTTCTTTACAAAATTGAACAAATGGTAAACAGTCATTTTAATTGATTGTAAAACGTTTGACCCCGTTAAACTAAGTGTGTAATAATGTACAGTCAGTCAGTCAGCGACAACGTAGAACTTCGTACGTACGTATATTAGTTCGAGTTGCCATACCACATTAGAACAGAGATGCAGTTATCGATTCAAATCCCATAGTGGTAGAGGTAGTAAAAGTAGAAGCATTAATCCGGAAGATTAGGGTTTGAAGACGTTATTCAAGGAGTATAATCCAGTGAAATAAATTTGGAAAGAGAAAAAAGAAAGGGACATGAAGAATTCAGAAGATTAGAATTTAGGAGAACACAAAGAGTAGATGCACCTGCGCCATTGCAAACGATTTTGAACCATGTCATTCAAGGTCTCTAACCATCGGTTGCTATTGTCTCGCGGATCCCAACCAGGTAGTCTACACCCACCAACATGGCTCAGTCCTATTGTTAGTGGCTTCATGGATTTGTGCCATGTTAGGGTCTGGTCACTCCTAGCTTTCTTCCAACCTACTCCTACACCATAAGACAACGCTCAACGGGGCAGTTTGTGCTCGGGTATACGTAACGCATATACACAATGCTTTAAGCCATATAGTTTGTGTTAAAGAGCCGATAGTGATGTCACCTGATTATCTAGACCGAAATCAGTGAAGCTTCATGGGATTCGAAATTTGCGAACCCTCGATCTTTGAAAAAATTAGATGGAATTTAACCATCAAGTCATTACCTCATTGATGGATCATCACATTAAGCACCTATCTCCTTATTTTTCTTTGAATAAAGACTTGTTTCATAGATGTTTATCTAAAATCCTTGAGTACACTCATCTTCAAATTATTTTTTATTTTGATGTGTACACAAATTAGTTTAGTGAATCTGGTTTGTCGAACAGTGTCCAGTCTGGTGGAAGTAATTCTCAGCAATCTCTGAGGTATTCGGTTGTGACGACTTCCATCAGGTAAATAAAAATGCTCTTGTATCCGTTATTTTTATTTTTTTCAGGATTCTGTGACAAATATTCCATCTATGTTCAATTTGAAATAATCGGATTAAGTTAAATAGATGAACAACAATTTGAATTTTTAGAAAATACTATTGAAGATGGTCTTATACTACGGGTTAGGCGACCATTTAAAACCTTAAAGGATTAGTTAGTTGTTTCGTCTTTATATAGGGCTTCTCAGCAGTGCACATCTTTGACCTTGTTTTAAGTCGAACTTCATGATACCGGGTCTATCCGGTAGTCCACATTTTTCAATGTATTCCGTCTGCACAACCATCATTTACCACCACCAGTAATAACTGTATGACTGTTAACTTGGTCGAACTCCGCCAGTCATAGCTTCTCACTAGAATTTCAGGAATGCTTCTGAAGATTATATTAAAATAAAATATCTTGTCAGCATTCTTTGGTTTGTAATGAATGTTTAGCTAAAGTCAAACCATCATGTAAACTATCTTTCAAATGAACAATCTCCCTCTGAAGTGCTTTTTTATAATTGGAACAACAAAAACAATTTGAGTTAGTAATTACCAACATTAATAACCTATGTATAAGAGAAAAAGGTTTTTTGTGAAATTTGAACCATCAACTAGGTTAGTTTGATACCAATGAAGTTACAAATCTTCACTGGTAATTCGTCTTAGTGCAAATGTAAGGCTTGATTGGTGGTATTTGGATCATGTTGATTAGTTATTTATAAGTTCCATTAAACCTGGTATAGATATACAGTCGGTTTATGCTTGTTATCAGATTTTACACAGACATAGCCAGTGAGGAAATTAACTAGAAATAAACAAAATGGTCTATATATTATTAGTTGTAGTGCTAAACACAATATAGAGAAGATACTTGAAAATGAATGGGAAATATAAGAAGATGATAAACACTAATTTGATATTCAAACTGAAGATTTGAAGTAAAGAAAGTAATATATAAATTCTTTGTTGTTAACACTGATTCTGAGCCATTTTTTCCCTTAAGGTGTTCTACCATAGACATTAGAGTTATTTCACAAAGTCAAACACAAGTAGTGTAGACATTCTGATATTTTTATGTCCTATTGGCTATGTATAATCATATTATATTTAAAGTATGACTATTTCTTCCCTCCCTACCCTACTTATTGTTCTCTTATCTACAGTTCCCACAATTCCTTATTATCTACATCGACTCCAGTGGATTTAATTAAAAATGGTCCATTATTATCTAGTCCTGATAAATCTCAATTCAGCCTACCATCATCATCATCATTATTTATCAAATCAAATTCACCTAAATTACTTGAATCCAGTATAAATGACGATCTCACTAATTCTCCTACTTCTTCATTTTCATTTAATTTTTATAATAATCATAATCATAATAATAATTGTTCATCAAAAACAACCTCTCCATTAAAATCAATTCATCAGACAACAAATGGATCGTTAAGTGTTCTGATAACTGATGATAACAACAGTAATAATACTAATAATAATCATTTTGTTATACAAACACCTACAAAAGCATTAAGTGAAGCTGATCAATTATCATTTCATTTAACTAGTCCACCAGCTGTTTTAGGTTCTGCTGGTCGTTATCCTGTTACTAATTTAAATCATAAAATAACAGATTTAGATAAAACTCCAATTGGTTCAAGAATTCCACGTTGTTCACAAATAAGAGGAGACGGTGCACCGTTACGCGTAAGTTTTGTATATGTGCGATGTCAACTTTTTGTTTTACTTTATGATGTTATGCATGGTCTTTTCAAATAAATACACTGACTGAGTTCATAGAAACCTTTGTTTTTATTTATTTATTTTAACACATAGATATAGGTACAAGGAGGCACCAAATACATATGCGCCACACAAATCTCATTCGGTATGTGTGAGGGCTGTGATACTGCCGGGGTGCCCAAACCGAAGCAGGTGGTTTTCTTAGGGGGCTACTCCCCGAGCCTTCAACCTAAAGGTTTGATCTACAAGGCAGTGGAGCAACGTAAGGAGATGCAGTCCCATGGAAACCGGTGACCAACGATTGGTTCGTACGCCATTTGTTCCTTCAGGATACTGGAGCCCATGTGCACCATTAGTTTGGAATCCGGTTAAAGCGCCAGAAATTCGCTTTTCGTCCTCTCATTTTCGTAAACAACACCCTCGCCACGAGAAGGCAATGAGTAGGACGTCCCTGGCAGAGGCTATATACGCGTGGCCATGTGAGAGCATTTCTCGAGGGAGAGCTGACTCTCCCCACTCTCGGCCTTACCAGTCTTAATCGCTTTCAAATTTTGACAATAAATGTATTCTGTCTCCATTCCTATTGTCAAAAATTAGTACCAGGAATTCTTACAAGTTAAGCACGTTTGCTGCTTTATTTTAGTTTCTCGTTTTAACATCCTATCGTCAGCTTCTGCATAACCGTTTCGCATTTCGACAACAATAAGTAATCTTTTGGAAGTGAGTCTGGTAAATAGAATGACTTGATCTAACTTTTAAACCGTGTGCATAGACGATTTTCCCGAATTTGGTTTATCGAAAATCATTCGGAGAATGAATCAGTATTCGGAAACCATAGAAATATTGTACATATTCAATGTTCTCATCAACGTAAAAGGTCTACTGGCTGATTTTTCGGGGCTAGGGCCAAGGAAGTGTGATCCTTGACCTTAAGTTTCTACGAGTATGATCCAAAATGATTTCATTAAATATTTCATTTGTTTTTTGGTGTACGTTTGTAAGACCTAATTATCGGGATCGTTGAAGGAAAACAATCGGTTGTAGATAATGGATGTATGGATAAATATAAATTTGTTCATTTAAAACCGTCGTCAGGCACAATGTTATTGTTCACTTCATGTCTGTAAAGAAACTTCAATCTGCCTCTTGTTATATACGTTTAGGGATTAATTTCAGTTAATTAATATTACTGTTGATCATTTAGTGGTGGTTATTGTAAAGAACTTTACAGTTCACTTACACTGACAGTTGAACTCCATGTGATAGTAGAACAGCATGTGGATTATGTTCACTTCAATTGATTTAATACAATAATTTATATGCTTAAATAGACTTTATTGTCTGTTTATCCTCATTAATAGAGTCATGGTGAAGCTGCGTAGTTCAACTGTGACTTAGTTTATTAACCCAGTTTTTATAGATTACATATTTACTGATATATTGTGTGCTACTGAATTACTTTTTATTCATATTTCAATGCTTCAGAGACCACTCTGTACCAGGTTGTTTGATAATATTCCAAATAATACTTCTCTTCCTTCAACGTCACTTTCTTCATCGTTTACAGTTAGTAATACTAATCGTAATAATTTGTCCGAGAAAACTTTCTCAACGTTATCCTCTTCAACAACATCATATAATTCCTGTGATGAAGCTAAATGTATAGCTATTCTTACAGCCAAAGCAACTGTTTGGAATCGAGCACTTTTACCAACCACTTCTACATCAACAACTGCGACATCTTCATTGTCAACATCTCAAAAATCTCATCTTTCTTATTTTACTACGAATAATAATAATTGTAACAGATTATTCAATGAGAATGAATTCAACATGAATCCATATCATTCTCTTAACTTTTCAATTCCTAAAGATACAATGATGAATTATCATAATAATCTATATCCTTATAAATCATATTCTCAAATAGTTAATAATGATGCTAACTTTAATCCTCCATTAAAACCATTAAAATTTCCTGCTAGAAAACAACCTCATTTAACACTTCGACGTATTGTACAAATTGCTAATGAAGTAAGTTTATATAATAGAAAAAGTCCAATCTGTTTTACATGAAATGCAACTTCATTATACAATTATGTATTTTCACAGATTGAAATCATGAGTCAGTTGAAGCTAGACCACCACTGAAAACCTGGAAGCACTGGACGGCCGTTTCGTCCTAGTATGGGACTCTTCAGCAGTGCGCATCCACGATCCTGCACCCCGCGGGATTCGAACTCAGGATCTACTGGCTTCGCGCGCGAGCGCTTAACCATTAGACCAATGAGCAGGCATCCAAAGGTGTTAATGTCTAACCCCTTCTGATAATTATGTATTTGACTAACAATTAACATTTTCATCCATTTTTAAAATGGACTATGAAATGTGATGAGTTTTAAAGTTCTCATCTGAGACCAGACCTCAATATTTTGGAAATACTGTTGTTGTTATTGATAAAATGATTTTTGTTTTGCAGTGTAGACTAACCTTACAATTAATACTTTTTCCAACCTTATTCAATAAACAGAAGTCCAAATAACCGTTCTCAAGTTTTTATTTATCAATTTTCTCGATAGTCTTCTGAACATACATGGTTTCAATGCAGTTGTTTGGCTTGATTATCACCACAACAACGTTGTCGAGATATATTGTCTGGAAACACATTTTCTACTATCTCATGTCATATGACTGGCTGACTAGAGACAGTCACTAGTATTACATTTATTTCATTGTCATGTTTCCTGTCAATTTATAGAGCTTGTTTACGAACGAGGTGATCTCATACGTTGTTAGACGTATAGGGGAGTTGTCGCCTTCCGGTTGCCCACACAATGGAAGGATATTTCTTGGGAGACCTCGAAAAGAAACTGAGCTAGCGTTGGTCTTAGTGACCAAGGAGCGTGACCGCTTGAGGCCGATCACACATGATCTTTTTGTTGCAAGTTTTCGATGTGTTAACTTTGTATTTCAGAAGTCCTTACCGTCGGAGATTGAAATCAATGGCGTAAGGCAAGTTGTGACATTTTAAGATTAACCTTCTCTGACTCCTTTCTTCTGTTGTGAGAAGGCAGCATCGCTGTAGATGCTGGCTATCCGAAAGACACTTTACTGATGTCTCACCCCTGTATAGTCCAATAGTATGATTTCACTCTCGGATCATGAACTTTCTGTTTTCGGTCTTACCGTTCCCCAACCGAGTTGCTTTATAAGAAACAAGCGTTCCAGCCACTATAGCTTGATTGGATCATCGCAATATGCAAGCCGAACCACCATGTTAGGGTAGGAGCTATAGTGTGTCTTTTTTTCATTACTACTATGTCATTTTGGTCACTTTTATAATTTCCATGTCATCGTGCTGAGCAGGCATAGGAGCATGGGCCAACGCACATCTGTGCCAGTCTCTATGTTAATGATGTCTGTCTGTCTATCCTATCAATCTCCTTTTTCCTATTTTACTCTAGTATGACATCATGATCCTCATACATATTTATCCCCCAAGTCTTATATTATTTATAACTGATTCACATAATTAGGAACAACAGTCACCAATTAATGCTAATTGTCTATGTTCTCTTTGGCTGATTGTTTATTAAACGAATTATACACACTGGGAATATCTGAAAAGACTAACATTTTGACGGAAGGAATCTAGTTGATTATCACAATTGATTGATTATTCTTTCGTTATTTTAAAATGTTTTACTCAGTATACAGACGTTTTAAATTCATCCTATTTGACTAAACAAAAACATATTAGTTCACCACAAAAATATTCCTTCTATATTTTAATCTCCTATGATGTACCCCAAATAGGTTTTAGAAAAATGAAGTATGCTAGTTCCTTTATGTAACTGCTACTTAATCTTATTCTTAGTGTTTCATAATTTGTTCATGTTTTTTTCTATTCACTACACATGTTTTTCTCAATGTTGGATTATCATTTTTCAGTACAAATACAATACAAAACAGCATGAATCAAGTGCATATGTGCGTAATGCTTATAGTAGATCCACTGAAAGATCAAATTTAGTACATTGTATATCATACTTTGATTTATTTATTTATTTGAACACATAAATATTGGTACAAAAGGGGCACCAGATATATATACACCACACAATATCATACATGGCCCCCTAATGCCCTGGTAAGGCCGAGAGTGGGAAGGGCCCGCCCTCCCTTTCGAATTGCTCTCACACGGCCACCCGTATATAGCCTCTGCCAGGGAAGTCCTATTCACTGCCTTCTCGTGGCAGGGGTGTTGTTTACGGAATTGAGAGGACAAAAAGTGAATATTCGGCGCTTTAACCGGGTTGGTGGATACGGACAGTCCACCTAAGGGAGTTGGAAAACCCTCATTCTAAACGAATGGTGCACTTGAACTCCAGTATCCTGAGGGAAAAAATGGCATATGAACCAATCGTTCGTCATCGGCTACCATGAGACTGCATTTCCTTACGATGCTCCTCTTCCTTGTGGGTCAGACCTTTAGGTCGAAGCCTCTGGGTGTGGTTCCCTAAGAAAATCACCTGCTTCGATTTGGGCACCCCGGCAGTATCACAGCTCACACACAAATAAAATGAAATGACGATATCATACTTGTTAAGTAATAATTCATCTTATTTATTTTGAAACTAATCGTTTGTTTTAAATTCACTTAGTGTTGTTTACTTGTATCTTCCCATTGTTATTTAGGTCTGAAATTGATCAGTCTCTTCTTGGCTTGTGACCTAAGGCAATATCGAGGCGGTCCGGAGAGGATGCTGATAAACCAACAAGAGACTGATCAATTACAGTCCTAAATATGAATGGGGAGATAGAAGTAAATAACACTAAGTGAATTTAAAACATCACTCCATTACACAAACAGGTGGTTATCAGGACTCAGTAGCTAAGGGGATAACACGATGGCGTTTGAAGCGAACAGTACTTGTTTCGAGTCCCCAGAGTGAACATCAACTCTGGAATGCAAGTACATGCAGCTGACGAGTTCCAAACAGGAAGAGACGCGCATCAAACTGGATTCCACTCCTAGACACTATCCATCTTTGCTTATATTCGTTTGTTTGTTTGTTTAATAAAAAAAAAAGAAATTGCTAATTAGTATTACTCATCTAATGCATACATATTTCTTTTAAATCTTTCAAAGGATGATTGGCAAGAAGTTGCTTATGGTAATAGCTATGCTTCTCAAACATTAATTCGACTAGCTAAATCATTTAAGAACAATTATCAACAACAACAATCTATTAGTGAATTAAATGATCTCTCATCTCATTCATCATTATCTTCACCATTATTGCCTATAATAAAGAGAACAATATCAGAAGAATCAATTAATCATTATTCAATTGATCATCAAGATTGTTTCTTGGAACTAGAACAACCGATGGACAATTATTAATGAGAATTATTCTCTTTTTATCTTTACTTCATTTACTTCGTTTTTAATACAGTATATTTTAAAGTGTGACAACTCGAACTAATGTACGTACGTACGAGGTTCTACGTTGTTACTGACTGACTGATTTTAAAGTGTGACAAATACAATCCCAATTGGGTTATATATATATTTAATAGTTTCAACATTCTCGTTTCGTTTTATTTAACAGTGGATTATTAATTTGTAATCATATGTTAGTTGGTTAGTAATAGGAATGAGTTTTTTATTCGATTTGGTCAAGAAAGAATTTTTGTTTCATTTCAGTCTTTTTTTTCCTCATATTCTCCCATACCACTGATTACTACAACTCCTTGATCTTCATCTTATGATGATATAGTACTGGTATGAAAAACAAAACAATGTTGTACTGTACCATTTCAAGTTCAATCACTCTTTCATGTCTACATACTTTCTACCGTTACTGCTACTTTTCTTGAGAATTGATACTTATCATTTGAAGCTGGTTTAAAAATAACCACAGTTTCTAGTTTTCTTTCTTTATTTCTTTATTATCATAAGTGATCAGATGATATCAATTCATGTGAATGAGTGAATTTACGATGTTAATGTTAATTAGGAATCAAATGGATTTGATCTGAAAGTGTATGTATGTGTGTCTATGTATTCGATTTCACTTCAATCTCTATTATCATTATTCTTTAGTCATGATCTTCATAGTTTTATATGTAATTTTCACAGGAAATCACTTATCAATTTGATATTATAAATATGTATCATTTCTCATCCTTATTCCGAGTGATTTATATATACTATTGAAAAAACATTTATCATATTACTAACAACACTACTCATATTAGTAGTATTGTTTACACATTAAGTAGGTGGTTTTTCTTCTCCAAACTAAGCAATTATGTGATATTCATTAAACATATATATATATGTGTATATATATATGTAATTATGAATTCATCTTTGTTTATTGTTACTCATCACTATGAAATAACTATAGGTGTTCATTATTCTTTTTTCTCATACATTCACTTCTTTAATCTTATGTTATATTTCCTCTTCTTCTTCTTCCTCCTCCTCCTCTTCCTCTTCTTCTTCTTCTCCCTCTTCTTCTTCTTCTTCTTCCTCCTCCTCCTCTTCTTCTTCCTCTTCCTATTACTGTTTATCACTTCATTTTACTTGTAATTCTTATATGAATCGTATGAAATGTGTTACATCCTAATGTAATTTATCATAATTCAAATGATTAATTCTCTATTCTCAATAATCCTTCTTTAATGTTGTGTATACACAATTCATGAATATGTTGTATACTTTTGTGTATTAGATTACCAAAACCATAAATTCATACTATATTCCCATGGATCCATTATAATTTCTTATTCTTCTTCTCTTAAAATCTAATTATAATAATTACATAACAGTGTTTTTTTTTGTTTTGTTTTTATCTCTTCTATCTATACCCTTATTGCATGAGAAACTAGTTACAATACAATATGATTATACTCTATCCTATATGTCATTTAAGATTATTAACTCCATTTATCTCTATCATCTTGTTTTAATGCTTACTTTATAAATAAAAGTCAATTTTATATAAAACACAATGTTATTACTTATTTATTGTTTGTTTTTTGTTTTTCTTTGATGATGGATTGAAATGGATATGGTTTGTTGTTCAAATGGTGATGATTGTGATTTTTGTGAAATATTGTTAAGTATGAAATAGGGTACTATTACAACAACAACTACTACTATTACTCATGGTTGTTCAAATCAAATTGATGGTATAGAGCTGGAGTGAAGGGGTGGGGAACCTGGCAAAAACATTTTTATGTATTTTGGTTATAAATCTTTATGTAGTGTATTACAAAACGATAGATTATTAAATGAGGTGTTTGTAACGTGTGTTCTAAGTAAACCAAATCACTCTTCTCACTCGAGCATAATTCTACTAAACATAAGATTTTATTATTTATTTATTTGAACACATAAATACTGATACAAGGTGTCATCAGATATATATGCACCACACAAGTCACTTGATTTGTGTATGGGCTGTAATACTGCCGCGGTGCCCATGCCGAAGTAGGTGGAGCCTCCGACTTAAAGATCTGGTCCACAATGCATTGGAGCATCGTAAGGAGATGCAGTCCCATGGTAGCCGGTGACCAACGATTGGTTCATACGCCATTTGTTCCTTAAGGATACTGGGACCCATGTGCACCATTGGTTTGGAATGAGGGTTTTCCAACTCCCCTAGGTGGACTGTACGTACCCACCAACCCGGTTAGTGCACCGGACATTCGCTTTTTGTCCTCTCAATTTCGTAAACAACAGTGATGCCACGAGAAGGCAGTGGGTTTATACGCATGGCTGTGTGAGAGCGGACTCTCGGTCATACCGGGACATAAGAGTAGGTTAGAAAAAGGGTAGGAAATGGCTATACCAAGGAATAGTGTCAGTTCATGAATTAATTGACTACTAGTGTGCGTTGTATCACGAAATGTAAAGTTCACGGAGGTGTGATAAAGCGATGTATAAATACATTAAAAATGATGTGTTAGTACAAAAACATCGGTCACTTATTATGACCCACATAAATCTTCCTTGTGTTTTCAGAAATGAATTTTTGTAGTGGAGTAAGCTTCTATGGTTTCGCTCCCCCCTCCCCAAAAAACTAATCAGAATGAACAAGTGAAACGTGTATGGTGATAGATTAAAATTTTGTGGAGAACTGCTATAATCAGGAAAATACTAAGCAAAACTGCAACCTTAGAACTATCCTACCTTGGATTATCGTATCTTTGTATTCCCTTCCTTGTAAGCTGTCGTTTAACAACACACGCTATTGTTGTGTTAAAGTTAATTAATAACATACCTATCACATCGTTCTCTTTCATTCATTGTATAGTTATGCCTGTATTGTAATTTTTTAATTATATTGATGTGTGGTAATAATTTCACTTTTTATTGACTGTTGAGTCATAAGAATGAAATGCATAATTATACATTACCTAATTTCTATGTTATCCTGTGTTCTAGTTATCGGACGATCGGGCTCTGTAGAACTACTTTTTAGATCAGTAGTCTCTAAATATTGATCTCAGCTGTTATCTCACTATCATCATATCATTGGTACTAGATGGACAATCTAGGGGAAATAATCAATATTCAGACCATATCATACAGGCCCAAACATAACCCTAGCATTTGTTTTCCCTCAGTCATATCAAAGCAAAGCATGAGTATTTCTGGATCCTATTTAACACCTCTTACACTTTATAAATCTAAAAAAATGGGGCTAATCCTAGTCAGTAGCTTTGTAGTGAATGAGAACTCAGTTGAAAAAAATCAATCTACTATTTCATGCAAAATTACACAATGCCTTCGCAAAATGTAAAAACCATACATTAAATACATTATTTGGATATCTTCCTTCACTTGTCCTGTATGTGCTTCATGATTCTTCCAATTTGTGTCGTTATTACAATTGCTCTCGAGGTGTACGTTCAGGTCATGAGCGAGTATTTGATCTTGTTTTATTAATTCCTATTTTATACTCATTAATGTGATCAGAGGACGTAAAATGTCAAGAAATCGATTAATTAGTTGAATAACTCTGCCATACAAAGTCAAGAAGATGTGTCAAAACCTAATAGTTTATAAACTTAGTCGTTCATGCGTGGTGTGTAACGTAACTTTGGATAACTGAGCACACTAAGGTCAGCCTGTCTACACTAGACAGAAGTATTTCCATCTACATATTGTCTTTTTCATCCTAATACCACAGATAGAACGGGTGAATTTGTGGGGAAAGAATACTGAGTGTTGTATGCTTTATCGGTGTACAGCCTTGATAGTTTTATACCATATAAAACTTTCATGTCTTCTGAAATCAGTGGCTCTGTAACAAGTGTGTAGTGAAAATTGTCCCGCCCTAAACTAATCAAATCTCCACAAACCATTTCATTGAATGGTACTTTTTACTTCTAAATCTTTCTATTATGCAGTTTTTCATGAATTTAAATTGGAAATTTCACAAATTAAGGGTACATTTAAAAATCCGTCTTCAGAAGTTTATATTCACTACTGTATACTTAAATCAGTGACCTAACTTGAGATCTTGGTGTTTTATAATAGGCACAACATCTGTAGACTACTGAGATGAAGTGTCTTTGATTTCTAACATTTATGCGGAATAATTGCCCTCATCACTTCTGGTAATTTTAGCATAATTCAGACTCTGAAATGTTGGAGTCTTGGTGATATAGACTTTACAAACTGAACTTCATTGTGAAATGACATAAGTGAAATACAATGGAAGATAACAGAGCACGGAACAATTGTCTTGATTTAGTTTATGACTTTTTAATGTGTCACGGTTATAGCCTAGAATCTTCTAATCTGATTGCCTGGTTGAGGTCCGTTGGATGAGATAACTCGAAACTAACCTGAGTGTCATAAATGAATTTACTTTGTCTTATTTTAACTCGTAAGTTCCAATAGTTCTTCATAGATGCCTTTACGGATTGTATTTGTCAGTATTTTGTCTTTTCCTACTACCGTTCCTACGGCGGTAATCTCTAATTTATTAATTCGTTTCCTTGTGCTGGTATGACATTACAACCTGTATGTTGATTGTTTAAGTTTTTTTCTGTCGATTTCGTTTGGTTACATAAACTTTCTTCAAATAGAATTAGTCTAGATCAACTACACAATTATGAGTATTATCTAATCATACTTTTTGCACTGTATAGTGATGATATTAATACTACTAATACGAAATTTGAATAGTGGAGATTTGTAGCTCAGGTGAATGATTTGGACGGAGTTTTGTTCTCTGAGCTGGATGGTTTGGTCGTGGAGCTTTCATCATTCTTCTGAACGACATCATCAAACTTCTACCTGAAGTTTGTGCTGATGATGTCGTTCAGAAGAACGGTGAAAGCTCTACGACGAAACCATTCAGCTCAGAGAACAAAATTCCAACATAGAATTTAAATATTTTCACAACTTTTGTAATCATGAATAAACATCAATCAGTATGAATGTATCTTACTTTATTTTAACGCTCTTAGAATTGATCTTTTTTCCTTTTTTGTATTAAATTTCACAACAGATGGCACTATTTACAATTGTTTTTGCGGTGTATTATCATCATGTTTCCTTGAACACAACAATTAATGCATAATCAGAGAGGGGGGTTTTGTGGATATTATACTAACTTAATAGTTGAATTCATCAATTAATTGAAGCTAGATCATCATGGAAAACCTGGAAGCATTTGAAAGCTGTTTCGTCCTAGTATGGGACTCTTCTAGGTTTTCCATAGTGATCTAGCTTCAATTAACTTATGAATTCAACTAGTAAATTAATACATAGTTCAAATGATTGAAATGATCTTCCTACCCAATAAATCTACAATACTGCTTATGCCTAATTAGGTTACATGGAACAACGACAACAACAACAATAAACCATACTGGTTATGTGTCTACCAATGATGTCAATCAATGTGTTTCTTTTCACAATAAATGAATTTTTCTCAGATTATTATGACAAATAATGTTCCGTTTAGTTGTAAACAGGTTAGTTCTATGGGTCATAATCATTTTCCATTAATATTAGTTTAATTATTGTCTAGACCAAATTGTCTATAGTCTGAAATTAAACAATCAATCAAACCAATCTTTGACCTTAAGGTTATGCTGATACGTTAGTGTAAATATGACACATTATATGTTTATGTATTTATTTATGGAATGGAATGAATCGGATGAATAATTTACATAGTTCTTCTCTAGATATCATCAGGAACTGGATAGATGTGTTTGTCCTAGAATGGTTTTTTTTTACGCTAAACTGAATGTATTGAGTCTGATTCCTGTTGGAGAAGTCATGATGCTCACAGTTGAGAAGTCTTATACTAGGACGAAATACCCGTCTAGTGCTTCCAATGGTGGTCTATCTAAAGTTAATTTATGATTCCAAGTTTTAAAGTTTTTTTTCGAAGAAGCGATTTTATGAAGGATATTTTCCATGGGTTGATCTCAGCTGTAGTCTTATTGGAAACTAGGAAGCACAGGTCAGCTTTTCGGTCCTAGTATCGAATTCCTCAACAGTACATACTCATTATCTTGGTGGAGTTGAAAGCTACGACTTTCAAGTTTCATGTTTGTTTTCCAATAGTTTTTCAACTGAGATAGAAATATTTTTTGCACAACTTTCTAGTGTTTACATACTATAGTCATTAATGGATCTAACAATGCATAAATACTTGATCAAATTTGAAGTTATCTTCATATTCTGCATCTTATTGCTTTCATGAACTGATATGTTAACTATAAAAGAGACATTGAAAACAAGCGAGTACTGGATAACTTGCTCCATTCTTGTCTTGAAACTGTAGGACCGGTATACACTCATAACTCCAAACATGAAAATCAAATTTATAAAACCATCTTGATTTCGTATTGTACGCAATATAAAATCAGAATGCGTAGGATGCTTGTTTAAAAAATTCACTTCATTACACTTGGTAGTGTCCAAACCTTCATTTGGTATCATCGATGACTAAACTATTTCATTATTGT